TACTGGTCCATACTGGTCCGTACTGGTCCATACTCGTTTATACTCGTTTATACTGGTCCATACTGGTCCATACTGGTTTATACTGGTCCGTACTGGTCCATACTGGTTTATACTGGTCCCGCAGAGGTGGTGGGCTGCGCTGACCCCCAGGGCTGCTCCCGGGCCTGCGGCTCCGCCCTCGGCTGCTCCAACGTGGCCTATCCCCGGCTGGTGCTGAGCCTGCTGCCCCCCGGTAATTAATTACTGCTCATTAGCGCTAATTAGTGATTATTAGCTATTTATTAGTGATTATTAATGATTTATTAGCGGTTAGTAATGATTTATTAGTGGTTATTAGTGTGGCCTATCCCAGACTGGTGTTGAGCCTGCTGCCCCCGATAATTAATTACTGCTCATTAGTGCTAATTAGTGATTATTAGCTATTTATTAGTGATTATTAATGATTTATTAGTGATTTAGTAATGATTTATTAGTGATTATTAATGATTTATTAGTGATTTATTAATGATTTATTAATGATTATTAATTATTTGTTAGTGATTATTAATGATGTATTAGTGATTATTAATGATTTATTAGTGGTTATTAATGATTTAGTAATGATATTAATGATTTGTTAGTGTGGCCTATCCCAGGCTGGTGCTGAGCCTGCTGCCCCCTGGTAATTAATTACTGCTAATTAGCACTCGTGATTTATTAATGATTTATTAATGATTATTAATTATTTGTTAGTGATTATTAATGATGTATTAGTGATTACTAATGATTTATTAGTGGTTATTAATGACTTAGTAATGATTAGTAATGATTTATTAGTGGTTATTAATGATTTATAAGTGTTATTAATGATTTGTTAGTGTGGCCTATCCCAGGCTGGTGCTGAGCCTGCTGCCCCCTGGTAATTAATTACTGCTAATTAGCACTCATTAGTGATTATTAGTGATTTGTTAGTGGTTATTAATGATTATTAGTTCCTTATTAGCGATTATTAGCAGTAATTAGTTTATTATTAATGAGTAATAACAAGAATTTTTTTCTACCATTAATTATTATTAATTAACAACTAATAATTATTTTGGCTAATAACTATTAGGACTAATAACAGCCCATTAATGCTAATTTTGGGGCTAATAAATCCATTTTTTCACCAATTTTCGCCGTTTTTTGGGACTGTTAATTCTACTTATGGGCTAATTATGGGTTGTTAGGACTAATCATTAATTATTAATCCTAATTTTGGGACTAATTAGGGGCTACTTAATGCATTATCAGGACAATTAATTGGTTATTAATGCTAATTTTGGGACTAATAAATCCATTTTTTATCCCATTTTTTTTGTTTTTTCACCAATTTTCTCCATTTTTTCACCATTAATTGTTATTAATTAACATCTAATAATTATTGTGGCTAATAACACTTTATTAGGACTAATAACAGGCAATTAATGCTAATTTTAGGGCTAATAATTCAATTTTTGGGGCTAATAAATCCGTTTTTTCGCCGATTTTCAACTTCCTTCACCATTAATTGTTATTAATTAACATCTAATAATTATTTTGGCTAATAAAACTTTATTAGGACTAATAACAGCCCATTAATGCTAATTTTGGGGCTAATAATTGAATATTTGGGGCTAATAAATCCATTTTTTATCCCATTCTTTTCGTTTTTTCACCAATTTTCGCCGTTTTTTCACCATTAATTGTTATTAATTAACAACTAATAATTATTGTGGCTAATAACACTTTATTAGGACTAATAACAGGCAATTAATGCTAATTTTAGGGCTAATAATTCAATTTTTGGAGCTAATAAATCCGCTTTTTCGCCGATTTTCACTGTTCCTCCACCATTAATTGTTATTAATTAACAAGTAATAATTATTGTGGCTAATAACTCTTTATTAGGAGTAACAACAGCCCATTAATGCTAATTTTGGGGCTAATAATTGAATATTTGGGGCTAATAAATCCATTTTTTCGCCGATTTCTGCTGTTTTTTCACCGATTTCCGCCGTTTTTTCGCCGTTAATGACTGTTAATTAACGAATAATTAACAGGGCTGCGCGGGCTGATGCTGGCCGTGGTGCTGGCCGCGCTGATGTCGTCGCTGGCCTCCATCTTCGCCAGCTCGGCCGCGCTCTTCACGCTCGACGTGTACCGGAAAGTGCGGCCGGGGGCGGGGCCGCGGCACCTGCTGCTGGCCGGGAGGTGAGGGACACACCTGGGACACACCTGGGACACATCTGGGCACACCTGGGGACACCTGGGGACACATCTGGGACACCTGGGGACAGCTGGGATACCTGGGGACACACCTGGGACACACCTGGGACACACCTGGGGACACCTGGGGACACCTGGGGACACACCTGGGG